TTGGGGGCGATATGCTGACTCTGTAAACCGCTTAGAGAGGGCTGAAAGCCCTATGAAGCGGTATATAAGTCTAACTATTGCTATTGCTATTGCATGCCAATGGATGCCAGTCAATACCAGGGCCACTGTGTTCTGGACCACTGGATGCTTCTGAACACTGCTGAAGGGCCACCCCATGGAGACTGTGCTGTGGTAGTAGAGTTGTAAAGTGACCACTGTGAGGGACTGTCTGGAGGGCCTCCCAATCTAAGGAGAAGGTGGAATTGGTGGGGCAGGGGAACCTTTGCGTGCCCCCGCCCTTTCAGCAGACTCCCACACCCCACATCACTCTTGAATGGGAAATGTTCATCCACCAGGGTCAAAGGTGGAATATCTCCAGAATTGGGAGGTTCCCCAAAACCATAGCCAGTTTTGAGTTGGAGACATTTGAGGAGGATCTTATTTCTTGGCGATTAATTTGATTTATTTGACTACCCGTTTCGTAAGAGGGACTCTGCATATGGCAACACATAACCCATGGCGGTCATGTTTAGGACAGTAAACCCAACGGCCAGCCAGAGCTCACTCAGCGGAGGCTTTGCCCTGAGGGAGGCAGAGAGGGGCTGCTGCCAAGTCGATGGCCAGCTAAGCAGGGCTTGAGCCTGGGCAAAGCAAATAACGTACGAGACCCCTCTCTGAGTTCATGTGAAGATAAACTGGGTGTGTGTGTACAACAATTCAGATGTGCAGTAAATACTTTTACTCTACAGTAAAAGTAGCCCTGACCTCAGTTGGGTCTCTTGTTGGCCGGTGGGGGGGGGAGTTCCTGGTGAAAGGCTAACGGCATCAGCCCCGTCTGCAGCTCCACACGCTTTTCCCCCAGGAAGATGCTGCCACAAGGAAGCCACGAGTCCAGAGCCAACACGGGGACATTGCTTGACGGAGCGGAGCCTCTCCTTCCTGCTAGCTCTCAGAGTCAAGCAAAGATGATGGGAAAGTAGCTTCCCCCCCCTCCCCCAATGCCGCCTAGGGCTTGATAAGACACCCAAAGGTGCTTTTTCAGGAGGCAACTGGACTTTCTTGTTTTTTCCTTTGGAAGACATTTTTTTTTTTTAGTCATTTTATTAAGATTTATAGGCCGCCCTTTTCCCTGAGGGGACTCAGGGCGGCTTACAATCAAAGGGAAGGGGGTGCACTATC